ATATAGATATTAAAAAGCATGGGGGAGAGGACAGAACCCTGAGGCACCCCACAAGTGAGAGCCCAGGGGTCTGAACACTCATCCCCCACCACCACTTTCTGGACACGGCCCAGGAGGAAGGAGCGGAACCACTGTATGACAGTGCCCCCAGCTCCCAGCCCCTCTAGACGGTCCAGAAGGATGTTATGGTCGATGGTGTCAAAGGCCGCTGAGAGATCCAGCAGAACTAGGAAACAGCTCTCACCTTCATCCCTAGCCCGCCGGAGATCATCAACCAGCGCGACCAATGCAGTTTCAGTCCCATGGTGAGGCCTGAATCCCGATTGGAAGGGATCCAAATGGTCCGTTTCCTCCAGGCGTGCTTGGAGTTGTTCAGCAGCCACCCGCTCAATCACCTTGCCCAAGAATGGCAGATTTGAGACTGGGCAATAGTTGGCCAAATTGGCCGGGTCTAAAGATGTTTTTTTAAGAAGCGGTTTAACGCTGCAAACCCAGAAGTAGGTGTTTTGGTTTGTGAACTTTGTCTTGGAAGCAGAACATGTTCTGCTTCCTGTTGAGTGTGTTCCATTAGTAAATTGAGTCCCCTGCTGCTATGGGAAAGCACGCCTTGGTTTAAGAACGCTTTGGTTTAAGAAGGGACTTCTGGAACGGATTAAGTTCGTAAACCAAGGTACCACTGTAATTAGTTGCATCTCCTGTTATCTTTCTACATTATATAATGACTTGCAATGCCAAATAGATATTGTTCTCATATAGCATTAGCTCAGCACAGAAATACGTTAAACAGCAATGTATTTGGGATGTGTATGTTATGTTTTAAACTTCATTTACAAATTTACAAACTGGTATCATATTTTTTATATCAACATAACTAGCTTTATTGCTGGATCTGATGTATTACCTTTTCCAGTGAAAGTAAGTCTGAACTTTTTAATAATAAAATGTATTCCCATTTTTAAGCAGAAATTATTTTTTTGCAGCCATTCATAACATGAACCGCAATTCTTTATGCAACAGGTAATAAAACAATCTTGTTCAAAAGGACTAATAATAATAATAATAATTTTGTATTTCTACCCTGCCCATCTGGCTGGGTTTCCCCAAACCAATACTGGATCTATAGAGACCACAATCCTAATAACTCAGTAAACTTTAGGCAACTTTTTCTTATACGGTTTCAACGTTGTTAGTCTAATTGCCTGCCAAAATCTTTGTTCCAAGTCTTCATATCACTTGACAGATCCTTAGTGCAAACTTCCAGGAACCAATCATAAATCTTTGAGAATCTTAATATGTCAGCATTCCATGTAACAATGGTATAGCACAAGAATGACATGTGTGTGTGCAAAAGCCTGTCAGGTCCCCATATTTCAAACATCAAGTTATGCTGCCATCATTCACTAATGTACTTCAAGCTCACAAATCACAAAGCTAGAAATCACAAACATCTATCATTTTAATGCATTTGTCAAATATCCTCTCATTTTGTATTCCTTTATTGGTCTGGGATTGAGTAAGTGGCTGCAAAACACTGTACTGTAAGATTCCCCATCAAGGACAAAATATGGAGAATAACTACTTGCTTTGGAAACTTAACATACGCTGCAAATCAGTTGATGATTAAGAACCAACAGCATTCTTGTGAAGTGTTTCCCTTTAAAAGACAAAACATTTAAAATATTTTAGTATGTGGCAATAAAAGCCAGCCAGTTGTGCTTATGGATTTTAAACACCAGCAATTTACCAATACAGTGAAGCAGATCATAGGACACATGATCCTAAATTTATACATAGGGGTAGGTGCTGTAAAAGCAGCCTCTTTTTGAATACAGAAGGTAAATTTGGTTTACTACTTCACAGGTGGCCTCCTGCCCCATTGTTTAATCTCCTGTTGTGTCTTTGAACACAGATTAACACTTACTGCAATAGGAAGATTTCAGAAACAGAAATAGAAATATGTAGGAGAGCATCTGACCTAAAGATTCATGGATAACAAATTCTCATATAACAATTGAGAGCTGTCTATGCTAATCACTTGCTCACTTGAGCTTCACTTATGCTCTTGGTTTAGCAAAATGCTTAGCATAGTCAGCTCTCAATTGTTATATGAGAACTGCCAGGAGCTAAACCATATAATATTTTTCCTTATTTTGAATTATACCATTCTTGCAGCCCTTTGAATCTTTTTATAATATTTCATTGGTTTTTGTCTTAAACATTTTACTAGGTTGCTTTTAAAAAAAAATTCTTAATAATCGAGAAAATGCAAATGTAAATATTGTGGTCTGAATTCTGCAAAAATTGAAACGTCACTGGATGGCATATCAGCACCATTTGTCCGATGGTAAAGTTGACCCAATGACAGCAATTAATAACTCCTGTAATAAATATTTATGTGGCTCATAATCATTCAACAGCCAATCATCACTGAAGCAGATCAGAGAAAGACTATTACCATAAATCACTAGCTTTGGTCATGCAAGAAGATTTGATTGTCCTTTTATCACCACATGACAATATAATGTCTTTGGAACTACAGTGAGAGCTAAATCCCTTCCTGATTGTACCGTTGCAAATATTACTCAAGCCACACTGATTGCATGTATTACTAAAGCTAGAATTTCAGCTCAGCATTTCCCCCCTGCCACAATCAATAGCAAACTCCACGCTCTAGAAATGATGGATCTGAACTTTTCTGTTTCTGTACCCATCCAAATAAAATGTGGACTGAAGATCTGCTTCATACATTTATAGACTATAGAAAACCTCCCCCCATTTTTTTTATCTATAAAGAGCCAAAGGACAGAAATATACAGATCTTATTCGGTCACGAGTTGCTTTAGGCACAACTCATGATTGTGAATTGATTTATACTCTATTTTCCCTTTATATGAACTTTATTGACTCTCATGCATTTTGAACAGGACAACTGCCTGGAGTCTATCCAAGGCTGATCTCATCTTTCATTTTTTTTAAAAAAAATAAAGCAAATGAAAAAGTGTAAAACAAGGCTGGTGATGATAATAATAATAATCGTATAGCCAACTTGTGTACAAGTGTGTGTGTAACAAGCATCCAGATCCGACTAGCTTCAGAATCTGAATTTGAGACTGAAAAAGTACTCCCATAAGAGGAACAGAAAATAGCCACCACCACCCAAAATGAATTTTGATTTCAGAATGGATAGCTTTTATTTTGAGTATTTACAGGTATTCAAAAGTTTAAGTAGAGATTCTCTCTTTACAGTGAGGGTACAGGCAATACAGTGACCAATGCCTGTGGGGAAAATAGAACTGGGCAACCAACCATTCAGTCATCTAGATTTTATGCAGTACATGATTCTGTAAAAACCTTATGTAGAAAACTGCTGTGAAATCCTAGCCAAGAGGATTACAGGAGATTTGTGCATTGCTGGAGGAAAGTACAGTGCAGTAGGAAGGTTTGAGAGTCCAGGGGTGCTGGGCACAAGCTACCAACCATCTCCCTAGCCTTTTCCCTGGAAGTATTCGGTTCTTCTAATCAATCTATTGTTCAGAATGATGAACCAGAAACAAATGTGATCACACATTTAAAAATTCTGTTTCACAAAGGGATAGCTTGAAGGGAAACACAAACTCGGTAGGGCAGGGTATTAATGGGTACAAAAACCTTTATTATACATGGAATGTACCTGCCTCAGGGATGGAGAGATCCCATGAAACATAAAGCATGATATCTGAGAGTCCTGTGCCAAAGGCAGGTAGTGTTTCTTTTAGAGCTGGCTTGGTTACAGCCCAGAGGAAATCGGGGAACCTGTCTTTATAAATATTGAACTTGGTTCAGTTTAAAAGAGAGCCAACAAAAAAAGCTATACTTTCATCTTGACTGTATAGTGATTGCTTTTTCTATGGAACTATGATGTGATAGAGAGCTGTACTGTTTGTTCCAGCAGGACAAAGGATGAACATCCTTTCTAATTCTCTTGATTGTACTTCTTCTGTGAGATGCGTGTTCCTTTTTGTAGTCTAATGGCATAATACTATTGCTATGTACCTGTACAGCACAGAAAAAATGTTACGATGTTAATAAAAAGAAATCTTTAAAAATTCACTAAGGCTAAGCTAGAACTGAAGTGAACTCTACTGCCAAAGAGCAGCATCACATGTAAATAAACAGCGGACTAAGTCCAGATCTATTAATGTCAATGGGAGTTTGGCCACTGAGTTAAAAAGATGTATCCATGAGCTGAATATTCATGCCAGCTGCTGGGGTTTGTCCTGAGAAATATGGAGCTGCCTTCCCCAACATGTAACCTAACATTGCCAGCGGTCAAGGATAATGGGAATTGTAGACCGACAATTTCTGAAGGCCACCAGGCTGGAGAAGGCTTGTCTAATAAATACACCAAGTGATGTCAAATAAACACTGTGTGATAATGTCAGACATGGCTTGCATTGGACATTGGGCTGAATGGAGATTAAAGAGACATGGAGCAGCGGCAGCTGTGTGCCTTATAAAGCTTCGGCTCTCAGTGAAGTTCTCTCAAACAAAATTGAGATGCACATTAAAGAATCTGCTGCTGATCATTAGCTCTGCATCCCACTTAAAAAAAGCAACTGTTCTATTCATTATTTGCATGGATTGTTGCTAACATTATAAAGAATTCATTTTTAAAACTTTTTATTTTCTCCCACTTCTAATTACCAACATTTTCCTGCTATAACTACAGCTTTTTACAGTAATGAAGAACAAAATTATTGAACCATGGCTACTCTACCAGCTTTGTTTCATATTGGATTTTTTTTTGTCAATATACCAATCATTTTTATTTCCCCCCTATAATTACAACAGTCAATGAGAGCAGGTAGTTCATGCTTTGTTTCCAAGAAATGTGTTAAATGAATGTAATTATATTTAATCGGGATGCCCATTTAACTTAAGGCAACAATTGCTTCTCAAGTAAATTAGAAGTTACTTTCCTATGAATAGGATAAGCATCAACTGTACATGTATTTACTTACCCACAATTCCTAAAGCAATGTAACCCAGGATGACCACAACGAAGATGACACAACAGAGAACGTCTGTACAATACCTAAAGACAGAAGATATTGAGCAGTTACACAAGTGTCCCATAATACAACTGTGAACCAAAATAAAATTGAATTCTTGGTACACTGTAGGTGCAAATGGCATCTGTTCAGCAGATCTATCCATCCACTGGCAATCGCTTTCAGTGTGCTAATCCTTCTGCAAATCTCATTTTCAAAGCCACAAGTATCTTGAGCCAAAAGTTCCATGGCAAGAATTAACCGTCCAAAATGCCAGTAAGATATAAGCAAGGCCAAATGTTTATATGCTTGCTCCTAGGAAGGAGTAGCTTACATAAAAGGACAACGCACATATCCATGGACCACTTATGGGTTTAGGCAGTGCACTGCAGTGCAAAGCATGATCATTCTGGTCATAGCAGCAGATTTCCTTCTTAGTCCATAAAAGTGTCCTGTGAATTACAAACAGCATACAAATTTACAACTTCTGCTTGTTGGGGGGGGGTGGAGATTGTGTTTATTGGCCATGAGTAGAAAGAAGCTTTTCAACAAGATTTTTAAAAATAGAGATAATATACATTGGTGTCATTAGTTTGGGCAGTTCAGGACCTGACTGCCTTTTTTCAGAGCTGAATACAACTTTAATTCTAGATCACGGATCACCATTTGAAGCAGAGAAAACCTGGTGAACCATTGCAGTTCAGTGTCTTAATATTCAGCAGCTCAGTGATCAGATTACTGTGTGAGTGGATGTATGTGCAAGTCCCATAGTGCTCAGGGAATCATCCCCTCTCAGAACAATGCCACCACATGCCTACTCAAGAGTAAGCACAACTTAATTAAATGGCACTTTGTTCCAGGTAAGTAGGGTTAGGATTGCAGCCTCTGGGTGGTCAATGTTAGTCCCACTACATTAGACCTATTGAAGTTAAGAAACACTGACTAACTTAGGTTCAATATTTTCAATGGGTCTGATCTGAGTAGGCCTTGGCTGAATATAATCTTCAGTCTGGAAATAAACCTGGTAAATTTAAGATCATAGAACTGTAGAGTTGGAAGATACCCTGAGGGTGATCTAGTCCAACCCCCTGCAATGTTGGAATCTCAACCAAAGCATCCATAGCAGATGGCCATCCAACCTTTATTTAAAAACTTCCAAGGAAGGAGAGTCCACCATGTCTCATGGGAGTTTGTTACACTGCCAAACAGCTCTTACTGTCAGAAAGTTCTCCCTTTTGTTTAGTCGTAATCTCCTTTCATGAAACTTGAATCCATTGGTCTGAGTCCTAGCCTCCAGAGCAGGAGAAAATAAACTTGTTCAATCTTCCATGTGACAGCCCTTTAGATATTTTAAGAAGGCTATCATATCTCTTCTGTCTCTTTACCAGGATAAACATACCCAGTTCCCTCAACCATTCCTCATAAGGCTTAGTTTCCAGACCCTTTATCATTGGTTGGCCCTTATTCTTCACACATTCCCACTTGTCAATTTCCTTCTTAAACTGTGGTGCCCAGAACTGGGCACAGTATTCCAGGTGGGGTCTGACTAAAGTGGTGCTGCTATTACTGTTCTTGATAAGGAAACTAGATTTCTGTTGATGCAGCCTAGAATAGCATTAGCTTTCTCTGCTTGTGCAACACACTGTTGACTCACGTTAAGCTGATGGTCTACTAAGACCCCTAGATCCTTTTCACATGTACTACTGGCAAGTCAGGTGTCCCCCATCTTATATTTGTGCAGCTGGTTCTTCCTACCTAAGTGTAGAATCTTAAGATATTTGTATGCAGTGTCCACAGATGCACGTATAACAACTGCTGTATCAACACAACTTTCATGTTTGAAACAGTCACCAGAATAAATTGCTTTCTAAATTATTTATTTAGACAAAATACTTCTCAATGGAAGTAGTTCTCACATTCAACTATAAGCCATCAAGGAAGAAGAAATACTGGGTGAGATAAATGCACGTGGATCAAATCCCTAATAATTTTCGCACCTGGGAAAAATATATCTGAAGAATTTGATTGTCCCATAGAGCACTGACAGAAAAACAGCAGGTCACTTAGCTTCACCAGTCAAGCTGAAAACCCCCACGAACGGTAAATCCACAAGGAAGGGAAAGAATATTAGAACATTGAAGTCACTGTTAAAATAAATGAGCCAGGAGGAGTGGTGAGAGCACAAAAGCAGAACATGTGAACAGAGCACAAACTGCAAATGAACACCAGTACTTCTCAGCACTCTAACTTTAAGCTAAGTGGGTCAATCCACTGCACTTCTCTATACCTAGAGAGATATTCATTGTATCCAACTTAAAATATTTTACAGAGCTACAATCTGACCTATTTTTCAGTTTCTGATTTAGTATTCCTTCCACTTTGATTTTGTTCTCTGCTTTCAAGGATGCATTTGAGTCAACAAGTGAATCAACCCAACCCCATCTTCATTAAGTAAATAAAATTCAAGGGGTCTTTCACAGAAATGGCAAAGAACCACAAAGACTGCACAGATTCAAGGTGTTCGTTCCAGCCTATTTTTAGAGCAGATATTCAAGGTGGACTGATCTAAAGTATAATTACGTGTGCACTCAAAACCGGCTCTTGACATTCCTAGCTGTGCAATTGAAGGCCATCCTGGAAGTGAAGCTGGCAAAAGGCTTTAACGAACTTGAGACTGGAAGAGGGCACATCTCAAGAAAATTAAGTCATGGGTAATGCAGCTGCTAAGAGTGTGCTCAGCCTCAATCCATAAAGGGCAGTGAAATCAAGGATCTAGGGGCAAACTTTCTAGACAGGGAAAAAGAGGAAATGAGAACATGACAATAAGGGTGAGGTTAGGGGTTCACCTTGGTCACTGACAGCCATCCTGACAGTATATTTTAAAATACAATTTAAAATATTTATAAAGTGCTCCCGTTATTAAAAAACAACAACCAGAAAAGATATATTTGCAAAGGCTGCTGTTGCCTTTCAAGGCATTATCTTTGAAAATGCACAGAATAATTTTGCTATTTTAATAAACACCTATTGTACATAAATTTGATAGACTACAAATTAGAATGCATAGTGTAACGTAAGTTGGATTCTGGGATTCAATTGGTTAGAGCATGGTGCTGATAACACCAAGGTTGCAGGTTCAATCCCTGTATGGGACAGCTGCATATTCCTGCATTGCAGGGGGATTGGGCTAGATCCGTGGTTCCCAATGTGGGGCACATGCCCCACAGGGGGGAAATTTGATTTTTAAGGGGGGCAATTCGAGAATAAGTTATTAACAGTTAATAAGCTTCCAGGCTTCCGCTACGTAAATAGGAGTTCGCTTTTTGAATAATAAGAATTATATGTCATGGGAGTGGGCATCAGGATTTTAGAGATGCTTGGGTGGGGCATGGCCAAATAAAGGTTGGGAACCACTGGGTTAGATGATCTCAGGATCCCTTCCAACTCTACAATTCTATGATTCTATTATATTCATCGGGGACCAAACTTAAAATATTTTACAGAGCTAAGTGGGTTCTTGTAGTGCCAGGCACTGGGTACCACAGACACCCAAGGATCAAGGTTTCAAAGGTTCAGAACAGTGTGACAGACAATGCCTCTCTGATGAGGAAGAAGCTAAATGAATCTGAATACAGATTATTCATTTGGAACTGCAGTTATTTAAGTAAGCCTCCTCTGAAAATTCTGTTCAGGGGGTTAAGAGTTACTGTCACAATGCAATGAAAGCTTTGATTTGCCTTGTGAAACTTGTCTATCTGGACTGATAGAGATTTACTCTCAAAAAGAGGAAGTGGGTGACCAGTGCTCTAATTCAGATTTGCCCCAAACATTTAGTTCAGGTGTTACTTTCTTTTGGTTTTTAATCAATGCCATTACAGGCAAAGCAGTATCCTTTCCCTTAAGATGACCAATAAACGCTACAACCTTTTACTAACACAAGGGTAAATCAACTACAGTGGTGCCTCGCAAGACGAAATTAATTCGTTCCGCAAGTTTTTTCTTCTTGCGAGTTTTTCTTCTTGCGAAGCACGGTTTCCCATAGGAATGCATTGAAAATCAATTAATGTGTTCCTATGGAAACCGACTTCAGACCAGGTCCGGGGACAGTGTGTCCCCCAACCTCTTCTGAAGGCTGGGGGGGGGACAAGGGCTTTTCTTCCCACGCCCAGCATTTTAAAAAACCCCGGGACAGCGGAGGGCTTCTCCTCTGTCCGGGGCGATCTTAAAAATGCTGGCGGGCGGAATTTTAAGATCGCCCCGGGACAGCGGAGGACTTCTCCGCTGTCCGGGGCGATTTAAAAGCCCCTGGGAAGGCAGGCAGGGGGGACAAAGACTTTTGCCCCCCGCCAGCCTTCAGAAGAGGTCCAGGACCTCTTCTGAAGGCAGGCGGGGGGCAAAAGTCTTTGCTCCCCACCCCACCCCCCCGCCTGCCTTCAAAAGCCCTCCGGGACAGCGGAGAAACGCGCTGCATTTCTCCCCTCTCCCGGGAAGGCAGGCAGGGGGGAGCAAAGCCTTTAGCCCCCTGCCCGCCTTCAGAAGAGGTCCAGGACCTCTTCTGAAGGCGGGCGGGGGGCGAAAGTCTTTGCTCCCCCCCCCGCCTGCCTTCAAAAGCCCTCCGGGACAGCGGAGAAACGCGCCGCCCGGGGCGATTTTAAACCCGCTGTCCCGGGTTTTTTTAAATGCTGCCGGGCGGCAGCGCTGCCGCCCGGCAGCATTTTAAAATCGCCCCGGACAGCGGAGAAGTCCCCCGCTGTCCCGGGGTTTTTAAAAAACCTCTCCGCCCCCCACCAGGCTTCGGAGCAGCCTTCCGAAGCCGGGCGGCGGGAGGAGGTGTTTCCCCCCCCCCCCGCCGCCGCCCGGCTTCGGAGCATCCTTCCGAAGCCGGGCAGCGGGAGGCGGTGTTCCCCCCCCTGCCGCCCGGCTTCGGAGCATCCTTCCGAAGCCGGGAGGCGGGAGGCGGTGTCCCCGCCCCACCGCCCGGCTTCGGAGCATCCTTCCGAAGCCGGGCAGTGGGAAGAGGTGTCCCCCCGCCGCCCGGCTTCGG